TAAACTTTTCAAACTTATAATATTAACTTATTATAAACTTATAATATTGTGAATCAATCATTACAATATGATAAATTTAAGAAAAAAAATTCACCCAAAATCAATTTTAAATAAAATATTAAAACTTCAAAATAAGAATACCTATTTATCTTATAATAATATTTTAACTATTTACATTTTTCGATACGCTGGTACATATTATTCATAATAATTGCATTTAGGTTTAATCGGATTAAAATTTTTTTAAAGGGAAATATTACGTGCTTTGTTGGAATTATTTTTGTTCACTATCGATTTTTCGCGAACTACATAAATTCATTTTCTGATTCACAGAGTATATTCATCAACCACAATATGAATAAATTTTGTTGTTAATTTTGTCCGAAATATCATACGGTAAAAAAAAAATGTGTTTTTAGTTTGTACTGCTGAATAATTAAAATATGAATCATGAATTGCAGACATTATACATTGTGACAACGGAAACAAACAAAAATATAATGAAATCATATTAACGGAAACATAAAACGAATACGCTTTTAATACAAAATATGGTAATGTTTGAAACAAAAGTATTTTTTTTTCAGTGGTAGGCACCGCAATTACTGTTTGCAAATACATATAAAAAAAAAAATTATTGTTTATTATAAGAAATATATAATAAACATCAAGCAGGTACACATTTATTTAAGTATATAAACAATTATCACAATTTTATAGAATTACCTATTGGTACCAATGTACTTATTGTTCTGGATAACTGTGGGTAGTTAATTACTGTTATTTTCTCATTTTACTAAACAATTTCTAGTAGGTATGAAAGCTGTTATGGGTGGCATATTGGGGGGGGGAATAATTATGATTTACATTTCGCATTTAAGTTCTTTAATATTTTATTGCTACATAATATTGTACAATTTGGATAATAACACATTAATAGGGCGAGTAAGAATAATATTTGAGCGTTGTAGATATGGGACATAATCTTCAAACAAATATAAAAAATACAATTACCAAATAATTGTTCGTTGTAGGCACAAAGTAATTTTTCCAGTTTTAGGTATCAGCTACTGTTTTCAAATACATATAAAAAGTTTAAGATAAAAAATATAAAATACAAGAAAGAAATAAAATTCATATAAAAAAGGGAAGATGGCCATAGTAAAGATGAAATTATAAATAGAATAACACATTCGAAGAGGGTCTTCCTGAATAAAAACACCTAGTAACCACCAATAGTAATGGCCTTATAAGGTAAGGAAAAGGTTCTTAAAAATATATGTATGGAGTATTGCCTTATATGGCTGTGAAACCTGGACAATCAGTGTAATAGAGAAAAGGAAACTAGGGCCTCGAATGTGGGTGTTATCGTAAAATGTTAAGAATTAAATGGATTGATAGAATAACGAATGACGAAGTACTAAATAGAATAAAAGAAAAGAAAGTACTATGGCATACCATAAAAATTAGAAGAGCTAAAATGATAGGACATCTACTACACCATGAGAGTCCATCGAAAACCGTCATAGAAGGCGACGTTAAAGGCCAAATAGGAAGATTAAGACCAAGGATGGAGTACATGAAGCAAATCATAATGGATATGGGGAAGAATAGTTATAAGGAACTAAAGGAATTGAGTAACGATAGGGACGCATGGAGAACTGCAGCAAACCAATCTAAGGATTGAAGACTGAGAGATAAAAAATTTAAAAATATAATTATTGTTTACGAAACGTTATCCGGAATTATAAGAAATATAATAATATAATAAACATCAAACAGGTACACATTTATTTAATATAAACAACTGTCGCAGTTTAATCGAATTAGCTATTGTATTGTAAATAATTATCTACGTATAATTGTTGTTACCTATACCTATACACTCGGTGAAAAACCCTACCTTGGGAACCACCGTCCGATGTGGTATAATAATATAACATATTCAAATCGAAAAGAAGAGGTCGTAATGAATCGACTTAGAATTGGCCACACATGGACATAATGATACCCATAATGGAAAAGACCGAACCTCCGACATATTGTAGTTCTTGTAATTCTTTAATCACATAATATAGTCAAACACATCATCATCCATTGCCAAATCTTCATGGAGGCCAGAAAAGAATGTAAAATACCAGACAATCTATACCTACGAAGCTGTACGTATACACGTATACACTACCCTACGCTGACACACAAAAAATAATCACATTTTAAAAAAAAAGTTGAAACGCACAACTTAATATAATTTATATTAATATTTTTAAAAACATCATTGTAAGACCCCTTAATATACATAATTATACTAGAATCAAATTGTAAGCTAATAACTATATGACGTTGATGCTGTAACAATAAAAACAATTATAACACGCCATTTATTGCCGGCCACGAATTCACGTAATGGGAATTTTCAAAAAAATTACACTTGTAAATATTCGAATATCATCACCGGCAGTAAAGTTTTATAGCACCATCTGCAGAGTGTGGGTGTAGGCGTCATGGGCGGGTGTGTACGCGTCTCGGAGTATATAATAATATGTAATAATTCTAAGCAAACCTTCTCTCCAAAACCAACAAGCTTATATATACCTGCTGCAGCGTACGTTAATCTTCGGAATTTTAAAACCCCTGTAAAGTTATACTTTGATTTAACAGTCTGTTGTAATAATTTTCGTATTACATTATATTTACAAATAAAACAAAGTAATACGCTGCAGCACAAGTTTGGTATTAATTTCGTGTTTTACTTTGGTTCGTTTTAAATACGAAACTTTTATACACAGCAGAAATACGCACAACCCACTAATTAAAATGTTTTTTGAACGTAATTTATTATTATGTTTCAGACGTTCAGCGTGCATCACAAAGTGTAATAATTCGCTACTGCGACGTGAACAATAAATAATAATATAATATTACGTCAAATGTATTATTATTATAATAATATGTTTTATTAAAACTCCATTTCCCGCCGTTTTGTTTGCAATATTCACGTAGGTACCAGCTACTTATTCGGATGTCTTCCCGAAGTCGTTTTCGGCCCGCATTGACAATAATACTGCTGCTACACTTGATATCGTGTAATTTACATACGTCTCAAAACTTTCTACAGATTTCCCTCAGGAATATGAATAATTTGTTGAGCAGTAATATTCATTATATATACAAGCTATTGCTATATGGTGGATAGCCAACTAGAAGTATATATATATATCTATTGTGTGTTTATGTGTATTCCAGCTGTACTACGAGGGTGCTTGCATTAAAAAGAGCAATATTTAAGTTTCTGGAGTACAGTTTTGTGTATATTATAGAAAATGCTATTAATATGCGGACTTGGGAGTTTAATAATAATAATTTGCTTGTAGTGACATAATAATATGAATTATTGCATTTTAAGTATAAAATATATTATAGTGGAATATTGCGTATGTAACTAAATATAAAACATATGCACATGCATGTGTTCTTAATACCTAGATAAACCGTGGACTCACATCGATAAATAATGATATCAAGTAGTATTAAAAATTATACTATAATATTATACACTCGACAATTTTTATTTTTTTATTTTTTACATCCGTGAATGGACACGGTCCGACGTTTTGCGTTTAATGCCAACTATAATAATTTATGTACAACATAAAGTGAAAGAAAAAATTTGGGTTTGTTTGTATTTGAAATGTCAACATTTGCGTGTGCCCCATTCACACGCGAACTATACAATACGAGGTACCTGTACAAGTATAATTTGTCATTTTTATATTCGTTTCAAGATTATGTCCCATATCCACGCTTAAATATTATTATACTTGCCTTATTAATGTGTTATTAACTGAATTGTATAATTATTATGTAGCAAAAAAATATTAAAGACCTTAAATGGAAAATACAAATCATAATATTATTTCCCCCCCCCCTCAATATGTCAGTTATAAATGCTTTAATACCTACGACAAATTGTTTAGTAAAATGCGAAAATCACAATAATTAACTATACAAAGTTACGATTGTAAGCCATAAAAATAAGTACATAGCAATAGGTAATTCGATAAAATTGCGATGATTGTTTATATCAAATAAATGTGTACCTGCTTGATGTTTATTATATATTTCTTATAATTTCGGATAATGTTTTGTAGACATAATTATATTTTTTATATGTATTTAAAAACAGTAGATGGTGCCTACTACTGAAAAAAATATTTTTGTTTTAAACATAACCATATTTGGTAATTTGTAATTTGTATATTTGTTTGAAGATTAGGTCCCATATTATCCACGCTCGAATATTATTATACTTACCTTATTAATGTGTTATTAACTGAATTGTATAATATTATTATGCAGCAAAAAAAATACTAAAGAACTCAAATGGAAAATACAAATCATAATATTATTCCCCCCCCCCCCCAATATGTCAGCCATAACTGTTTTTATACCTACGACAAATTGTTTAGTAAAATGAGAAAATGACAATAATATTAACTACACGCAGTTACGATTGCAATCCAGAACAATAAGTACCTAAGCGTATATTTTTCGTGATCCGTTTCGATTTTTACCGACGATTGTTTTCGTTTTAGATCAGGTCGGCTCGTATTATATTATATAGTGATAATACTATCCTGTGGTAGGTAGCAGCCGAAGCTAGGCTCAAAATTCGTAGGTATATTCGTATATTTTATATTTTTGACATTTTTGGTGGTGGGGGGGGGGGGGTAGGAAGGGGTGAACTCTTGGCAACGATCGTCATACTATCAAAAGTCCCTGACGACAATGCTAATGGAACGGTGCTGGCGGTGAAACACAGTGGTGGTGGGGGGAGGGGTGTATTCGGCATTATAATATAGATATATTTCTATAATATAGAGGAGCAAAGGAGTCCAACACTCCGTCGTGCCACGACTGCCGCTGGGACGAGAGTGAGCGCACCACACCGGTGCAGTGGCAGCTGAGGGGACGGCGGTGGCGGTACATTTCTCGCGGGTTCATTTATTATTTTCGTAGATAAATTCCGCTTCGATGGTAATTACTGTGAAGTGTAAAGTTTGAGAGGGTGGTTCTTTATCTTTAATGAAACTTTTGTACTTTTGCTGGCAGCCGAATCTTGTTTTGTGCCAAGAACGCTGCCGGTCCAGGCCAAACTTATCGGCAATAAATTCGCCGGCAAATCCGGCTGGCACGGCGCGGCGGCAGCGCCCGACCTCCGCGTGCGCTGCATCGCGAATAATATCCTCGGGGGTTATCGAGCGGTTACCGAGAGCATGTACCGCGCGGTCGTCCGCTACATAACCGCTGCCGACCGTTATTGCGGTTATGCCCGACATGTGCGCGCACACACGCCCGAAATGGGACGCTGTATATTATTATGATACGGACGTGCGTGTGTACATGTGCGAGCGGACGGATACGCCAAAACGAATTTGTGCAAATTAAATCCCATCACAGTGTTGTATATTTATTGCAGTGAGTTGTACTCGCCGACCAGTTTTTATCGAACTCGGGTCCTGTGGGAGGGGGGGGGGTGCAGAACGCCCACGGTGGAGGTTTTATCATTCAAATTGTAATCGAACGGTCGGCCGAGGTATTCATTGTACGACGACAAAGTCCATTATAGACCACGCCTGTATCCCATCGAAGCGAGAGTAAGGGCCAACGGTGTGTAGAACTAATGTATAATAATACGTAGGTATAAGTGGACGATCAATCTAAACACTGATAGTCCGTTTCAAAAATCGTGAGTGTGTGAACTAGTGTGAGTGAGTGTGTATGCCTGGCTCGAGGGTTTTGGAAATCTATCATATGGTATCGTATCGTTTAAGTGTTGGAGGCGTCACTTGAGTGTATAAATATTGTTTTTCCTCCCCCCAGGTGGATTAAACTATATTATACGATAACCACTCGTGTTATTAGGATGTCTGGCAAAGAATTTTGTGGCACCATCGCTACTCTGTAAATATCGCCGAGGACTAAACCGATGAAGGTTAGCGGTTAGGTTAGATTTAGGCCGATAGGATGTGTTTGGAAACTCGAAATCTGGCACACTTTTGATTGAAAACGGTCAACATACAATAATGGCAATAATGGACAATAATGGTGGCGGCCTGTCTGCCCAAAAATGAAACACAGTAACTAAAACTTTTAATATTTTGCAGGAGAGCCAGTTTACTAAACTGATAATTTTTGCTTATAAATTTTGATAACGAAGTATAGGAATTTCATAATATGTAATTCTGTAGATACTGTGTTTTGGCTTTTGAAAACACCTTGTCATACAAGTAATCTAGTAGTTACTAGTTACTGGTTACTAAATCATAAACTAATGGTAATATTTAAGAGAGGTTGGAATAAAAAAAAATACGGATATGTAAAAACGACAAATTTGATGAGAGGTGTAGTTACTGTGTTATGTTTTTGTACTATATAGTCTGCAACGTATTCAATCAAAAGGAATAAGTCATATGGAAACATGTGCGGATACAGAATAGTATTTATAGAGTTAGTATCATATCATACTACAGTTTTTGCTCATGACACTTGCATAATATTTCCATTCCAATCAGAAACTGTCGACAAATTAAACACTCGAATGGTGGCTACAATAATATTATAGTATCGAATAATTAGTAATTTCTAGGTGTATTAAAAGTTCAAAACACATTGACTGTAAATTATTTTATTAATACTCCGCGGATTTAAATCCAAAAGGATTTACGTCAATTGACAACAATGGGTAAATTAAATTATAATAACCCTACAGTGATTATTACTCATACCAGAGAATTGCAGGCAACCTATATTATATTTGAATGAGCAAATAAAATTTGAATTAGTTATACATATAGTAGGCATAAGAAAACATTTTTACCTCAAATTACTTAGTAGTTTAATGATAGATATTACATTTACAAACATTCATCAGGATATCTCCATTACTTGCACAAAGTAAATAAATCGAATAATTAGTATCGATTTAGTCACAAAACGTTAAAAAACCATTTATAATTATTAACCTCCTACTTTGGCGATAAATTGTATGATTTAAAAATATATTGTCATCACTCATCAGTATTAGTATGCCTTAGTAAATTTTGTTCAATGTTCGTTAAAGCGTTCACTAATATTAATAGTTAATACCATGACACGTACACCTTCAAGCGTTAGTTTTTATTATTCAATTACATTTTAGAAATTGACACCTTTCATGCCTATTTAGTTTGTTTGTTCGTCGTTGAATTAAATTGGAATACTATAAACATATCAATCAAATAACTTCGAAATAAACGTATCTCAAGGAGATGCGTGTTTAGATATTTTGAACTTTACTATCGCAGGCCCCTCTCTCCTTTACACGAGGGATTTGTAAGCAGTTCTCAGACATCGGTTTCTACACGACTCGTTGATATCACCTCCAGTCGCCTAATTTGAATATTGTATAAATTTAGTTATTCCAACAGTCACTTAATCATTTGCATGTTTAGAATAATATAACGATCTGTATCAGATTTGTTGATGAAGTTCATCGCTGATAATAATATCGCGTATGGCAGTAAATATATTAAAATGATTAAAATGTATATGTACCGATATCAAAATAACAAGCCTTGGCAAGCTAACGGTAATTTTTAATTGAGTTAATTTAAGTTGATAGAAAATATTTTTAAAAGTTTATAGTTAATAGTTATCCTATTTTTTTAGCTCAGTTAAGTTAATAGTCTTGTGAAAACGTTCAATTAAGTTATTCATTTAATTTTTTAATTTATAAAATATAGCTAGTCGCTTGGTTTAAAATAATAAAAAGTAAATGTTTATGTAACATGCATATTGTATCATCGATAATAATTGTATTTTATTTCTTATTTAATTATTTATAAATCATCGTAACTTGAATTTGATTAAAATTTACTTGTTATTTATTAGTTTATAAAAATCAGCTTAGTTAAAAATTAAGTTAATGAAAATTAAATTTTTAAAAGCTAAGTTAAAAAATTAAAATGAACTTAACTTTAATTGTTTAACTCGTTTATGCCCAGGCTTGCAGAATAATATGATGTTATTTATCTACAGTGGGTATAGTAAGTATCTATAGTTTACCTACACATTATGCATATTATACTTTTTACTATAATTTAAATCGAATACGTGGAACGAGAGTCAGGTACCCATACCTGCGTGAAAAAAAACCGTTATTTAAGTTTATCGCTAGTTATATTATATTTCGGATAAAAATATAAGCAATAGGAGGGCTGCAGTGTAAACGTGGGACGGAGTGTATGACTGATAATAATATTGTATTGCAGTAAAAATAATATTACAATACGATTTTACGCGTGCAATTTTTAAATCGAACGTATAGAATCCAATATTATATGATATAATTTGCCCGGTAAATAAAAGAAGTCTAGTGGACTGGCCATGAGAGGTGTAATCACATGGTGCAAACTTCATAGATATACAACCCCTTCCTCCTGCGACTCGAGACACGAGTCACAAACAAATGCCTTCCAAATGAGATTCACAGAGCTTATATATTATATTGACGTAGTTGATTGGATATAATACCTGGACATTAATATTTATAGTTCCATATTATATTATTATCTCCAAGCTATGATAGTTACCGTACGGACCTTTCTATAGTCCTCATTATAAATTGTTATCACATAGTTTACTTAATTTTCCCATTGATTGTCTTATTTTATGTTATTACCTTATCTACGTATAAACTGTATGTATGCCATGTTGAATTGTATCCCGCATGCGATTTGTTTTGTTTATAATATTTATATTTTATTACTATGATAATTTTTAAAATTTGGAAATTTTCAATGTTCTCTTTCTCTAACTTGCCTTGCGAAATATATATATTATATAATATATTTACCCTGAAGTAGGTATTTATCTAGTTTACCTACACATGCACATTATGCACTATATGCATTAATTGTTTACTATAGTTTAAATTTTTTTTTTTTTTTTTTTTTTTTTTTTTTCATTGATCATTAAGCCCGGCAACTATGGCCATTAGCTGTTTTTGTTTGTTTGTTTGTTTGTTTAGTTTGTAGGGGAGGGAACTGTTGGTTTGTAAACACGTGTGTTTGTGGTGGCAGAATTTTTTTATTGGGGCACCCGTAGGTTTCTGCCATGCCCCGGAGTGGGGGATGGCGGCACTTGTTTTCCGGACACCGTGACTTGCCCGGAAAAAAATGCCGCCCGGTGGTCGAGAATCGAACCCGCGACTGCCAGCGCCGCGGCCGACGCGTTAGACCGCTCGGCCACCTTGTCCCCCCAGTTTAAATTTATTTAATATGTATAAGGAGGGTTACCCAAACTACACGAAAGAAACTGATAATTAAGTTTACCTTTTGTTATATTATATTTCGGAGAAAAAAGTATAATTAATAGATACCTAGGTAGGTAGGTAGGTAGGTAGGTAGTGAAAACAAGGGGCTAGTTAAAAGAAGGATAACAGTATAATCACGAAATTACGATACAGCGAAAAACTTACGAATGGTATGGAAAGAAACAAATTAAATTGTAATTCGAAAAAAAAGAAATAGCGAAAACTTTTACTTTCAAAGAAAATTACTTCTACTTGTGGTGACTTGGAGCCTTGTTAAAAGTTGTTAATGAGGCGTTAAAATAAAAGTGAAGTTTCTAGGGGTGTGGGAGACATAATGAATATGAACAGTGATATATTAACTTGTGATAATTCAAATTTAATTGCTATGGGATTTAGGTTTACTTGGTAGTCGGTAATAATGCAGCTTTGCGAAATCTGGTGTACTCCTACGGATAAAACTAAATAATTCGAATAATCAAGACTTTAAGTGAGGCAGTAAAATTATTAAACAGAAGCATTTAAACCGTCGCGTCGGCGACCATTAAACGTTAAACCCGAATAAACGACAATAACAATAATAATAATTAATAATAACAATACCTAAACAAATACACTGAAGGTATTCGAGACTTTTCAAAATTAATAAAATTGGTAGTACATTTTAATGATATTTAACAATAATTGAATTGTATTTTTAAAAATGTAATAATACATAATAGTAAATAATATATTATAATATGATTCAACTAAAACACATTTGCAACGAACAAATTATCAAATCTCATATAGGTAATATACAGGGTGATTCACCCATTATGCTTACCCCCAATTTTTTCCATTAATAATGAAATTATTAGAATTCTGATTTTTGGAATTTTTAAATTTTACTCAAAGATTTTTATTTTAAATTCTTGATTTTTTTTTGTACTATTTAAGGAGTGGCGATACAAACTTATGTTTTTCAAACGAGAACCCGTTTTTTCA